TCGGCCGGTGTAGCGTGCTCGACCGAGCACATCTCCTGCAGCAGAAACGAGCAGCATCTCGTCACCCTCGTGCTTCAGCTTCACGCCGTTTTCCTCCAGCTGGCCAGAAGACAGTAGGTTCGCGTGTACGCCCGGAACGTACAACACGTCGGGGATGAGAACCTGCTTCCCAGTCTCCCCTTTCAGAGCAACTGTGCCACGGCCTTCGACGTTCTGAAGCGCCCCGTTGAATCCGCGCACGTGACGGATTTCTCCTCTTGGCTTCATTTCGACGAAGGCCTCCCGCGTTCCCATCAGATGATGGGAGCAGCCGCTGTCGAGGAGAACCACAGTCGGATTCGCCTGGACGGCTGCTGCGACCGCCTGGAAGTCTTCGCCAGCCTCCGGCGCCAGCGAAATTGTTGGCTCGACCACGCCAACCATCGAACAAGAGGCTTTCTTTTCGCTCGAAGCATCACCCTCTGATTTCGACGCCGTTTTCGAGGACGCAGGCTTCTCCTTGCGCGGCTGGTTGTCTCGACGACGACTGTCGCTGTCAGACTTCCCGTCCTCTGAACGACTGGCGTTGTCAGACTTTCCGCGGCTCCCTCTCTGATTGTCGTCGGACTCGTCGCGATCAGGGCAGTCGTAGGAGAGGTGGTCAGGGTCTCCACAAATGTAGCAGCGGCGTCCTCCTCGACGCGAACCACTGCTTCCGCGATCATTGCCCTTCGCCGACTTTCCGCGGTCGGCGCTCTCCGTAGACTTGGTGTTCGACGACTTTCCGCCACCGCCTCCACCTCCGCCTGACTTCTCACGCTGCCCCGTCTGACGTCCCTGCTTCGTCGGAGCGACGTAGTTAGCCTGCGGAAGGAGCTCTGAAGACCGCTCAGACTCCTGCATAAACTCGTCCTGGATGATGTGACTCGAAAGCGAATCCTCGTTCAGAGTCTCGCGCGTGCCGGGCATTATCAGCATCCGTCGCATCAGATTGTAGCTCGAGGGGAGGCCGTTGATGACATGCGTGACATACGACGCCACCGAGTACTCGAAACCAGCCATCCGCATGTCGGCCAAAATTCGCCGCGCTCGATTGCAGTACTCGGTCGCCGATTCCTGCTCGCCCATGCGAATGGTGGCCAATTTCTTCTCCAGTTGGCTGATGTAGAGGTCGTCGGTCGCTCTGTAGGTGCGCATGATGTACTGCCAAGCTTGGTAGCCGGCGTCCACTTGAAGTCGGCACTGCTTCAGCGCGACTTGCACCAGCGGCGAACAACACCTCGAAATGACCATGAAGGTCAGAAGGTGAGCAGCGCGAAATTCCGCCAGCATTTCAGAGTCGTCTTCGTCCGGCATCTCCACCTTGCCGTCAACGAACTTCTTCAATCCGGCGATCTCCAGCTGAGGTTCGATTGACTCAATCCATGTGATCAAGTCATGTCGTCCTTCGAGCGGCTGCGGCACAGCGATCTTGTCCGGCGAAAATTTGAAGTAGCCGTACGCTGGCGCGATGCCTCCGTCGCGACCAGCAGACGCATGAGTCGCCGATGTCGGCCTGGCTCCACTCCGCTGAGGAGAAAGGCGTCGACCATCGATGTTGCCGTTCGAACTTCCCGCTGCCGCCGAGCGCAGAACTCGTGCCTGCATTCCGCCGACGCCAAAGCCAGCGGCCCGAATCACTCCACGAAGCCTCGTGCTGCCTTCGCTGCCGACTTGGTTACCACCGTCGACCTGGTCGTCGACGCCGCCTTCGTTGCGTGCCGGTCGGGGAGTGGCGGGCAGTCCATCCGCCTCAGTACGGGTCGTTGGGTGCTCGCGCGCCCACTGCACGCGGGTTCCAAAGAGCATAACCTCCAAGGTTGCTCCGCCGTACTCGCCAGCTGCGTGGCGTGCCCGAACGTCATCTAACCGCGCCTGCAGGGTATCCTCTACGACTGCAGCGACCTCCTCCTGGTCGACCATGGCGGTTTAGACTGCCGGCCTACTACAACTTAGGTATTGAGCACTAAAGTCGGCTACTCTGAAGGTTCTAACGCGGGGGTGTTCGTTCCACGCTCACCGCACCATGCGGAGAGTCACCCTACAACGGGTGTGAACTACGAAGGAGAGCACGGAGTTGTGTGGGTGATCGTAGCGCTCTAGTAGCGTTCTAACAGAGTTCGTACTACTTGCTGTGTTCACAGAGGAATTTGGCAAGAGTTTCCACTAAGGAAATTGAAAGTACATTGAAAATTGAGAATTAGAGTACAAGAATGAGCATGCAAAAGTGATATCTCTGGAATGGCATTGCAACCCCTAGCAACCATTCTGCAAGGCGAATTGCCAGCACTGCATCAGAGCGGTTCGCCAACGCTGAAACAGAGCGGTCTGCCAGCGTAGCAGAAGGGCGACATGCCAGCGCTGCAGCAGGGCGGCCTGCCAGCGCTGCATTCGCAGGTGAATATCTGCGCAGGTGTGCACCTGCCGAGTAGGTGCAGGTAGACGGTTACACCGTCAGAGACATTGCGCAGGTGCCAGGTAGAAAACGCTCCGACGGTTTCGTCAGATGTCCGCCGTCGAGCACGTGATGCCATTTCGGAGGTCGAATTTCGCTAAGAACCACCTGAGCGAATTTCGCATGCCCTCGCAGAGTTTCGCAGTCGCGCGAATTTGGCCGACCAGTTCGCCGAGCTGACGCTCGCCGAACAGCGCCCTTCGATCAGAGAACGCGGCTCCTCGGACAGCACCCCGTCCGTCAGAGATCGCGCGACCCAGAAGCAGATCAGAAGACGAGCTCGTCGAACAGCACCCCGTCGACCAGAGCTCGTTGACGGGCTGGTGAATCAGAGGACAACCTTCCTCGAAAACCACCCGCGGTTTCAGAGGACGGGCTGCTCCAATGCGACGATCACTTCGTCGAATTCACCACGTCGTCGCAGAGAATGCCTACGCCCAAGCGAGGGCGGGGCCTTTCACTCCGACACACGCCAGCAACAGTCCGTTCTTCCCTCGTCTTTACTCCTCCACTGCTTCCCCCCCGTCAACATCTCGTAAGCACCCAGTCACCATTTCCACCATCTCGTGAGCCATGAGTTTTGCCGTAATTGAGAGGCCACCATTGTTGCGCTTATTTCTGATTCATCGTAGTCTATAAGCGTAGCATAGGGTTCTCCTTTCTTGCTCTAACCATCCTCCGCTCCTTGTATTCACGCACTTATCAGTGGGTCAAAGCACCATGACGCAGACCAGGCTCTCCGCACGCAACAAGGGCCAACACGCCGCAAGTAGCCAGCAACCCGTCGCGCGGGCGAAACGAACGAACCGTAACAGGCAGGAAGCGAACGGTAGTAAGCAGGCTCCGTGCCCTGAATTCAAGGTTCCCCTTAAAGTTGAAGGCGTGCACGTGCTGCGCGAGCCAGACGACATTATATCGAGGTTCGCTAAGGGGGTCAGAGTTCCTGACACGGCGACCGAGAAGCTACCAAAGTCGGTCAAAAGTGACCGAACTTCCCTTCCCGTCAGATAAAAAACCATCACGGCCAGCGAGCGACGGTCACCATCATGGATGCTCTCCACATACAGGATGGACACGAGCTGTCAACGTCTATCATCGACTTTTACAACGTGTGAGTCACGTTCAGCGTCCGCACTGATGTACTTATACCTGTTCATCATGTTCATGCCGTTGCTTGTTCTGATTGTTCCAGGGTTTTGAGCCTTATTAACAGGAAGTTGCCTGACGGGAAAACTTGGTTGGCTCTTGACACCCTCGCCTACCAAAGCGTCACCGGGGGGCAGGAGCTAGCATGCGGCGTCGATTGCAAACTTCTCTTCGAGCACGACTATCTGTTCATCGTGGTGTTCACCAAGTAAGATTTCAAAAGATTACGGATGTCATAGACCTCGTCTTCTACATCCTGGAGTTCCGATCCGTAGCATGCATAACACAACCTCCCTTTTGCTCCGTGGTTGTATGCAGAGTTCCAGTTCAACACTTCAGCCTGGTTGTTGTCAAGGACCCCCGTCTGCTGATGCTTACCAAGGAGGAATACGATGCCCTGACGCCACCATCAAAGTAAAGGCAGTACTGTACGATTCAGCGCGCATCCACTTCGACATGTGCACGGCAATCTTCACAAATATCAACGAGTGAGTTCAGCGTGATGCGTATACCATTGGGGTTTGTCTCCGGTACCTTTGCCAGTGATTCTAATCCTCGGTATCATAATCCCCTTTACCACGTTGTGCTTCCGCAGGCTGCTTATGAGGGCCCTTAAAAAGGCCAACCATGGGTGGTTGTGACAGAAAGGGTTTCACGCGTGAGAAGGAGCTTGTGGGCCGAGCTTTCCAATTCATGGAAGACGGGATCGCCCATCCACGTTATAGTGCCTTGCAATGCAGGCGCGAAATTCGTGCTCTGATGTGCGAGGCCGGTGAAGGAACACTGCTAGAAACGCTGCAACTGAAGGGGGCCGACATTCCCCCACAGAGTGATCAGCACGGGGGGGAGGAGAGCGATAGCGACCAGGGAGTTGTTGAGATAAAGGAACCAACCATTCAAGATGTGGCCGCGGAGCAGTGTTCCCATGCTGCACAGCTCAAGAACCTGCATGAAGACATGGACGCTCTCAAGGACGCCGTTTACAAGGGAGAACAGGGGCTCGAAAAAGTGACTATGTCGCTGTCGTCACTCTTCACGGCCTTCCAGCAGCTGGCCGCCAAGATCGGGTTCAAACTGCCGACGCGTGGCCTTGAGGATTTGGACAACGACAACCCCACCGCCTCTACCGCTGCAGCGCACGGCCGGAACCACAACCGAAGCTCCCGTGAACATGGGCGGTGTTCCCCACGCTTCCACCTCCGGCGCGTCACATGCGCTTGCAACAATTGAAGCGCCGACACCAGGTTTATGTGTAGGCCGCGGAGCCACACCCGGCCTACAAAAGTCCTCGGCTGTTCCCGCCGGTCTACCGGCCGTCTTTTCTAGCACCACGCATGGTCAGGCGGCTGCTGCAGCATGTGCTACTACAGCGGCATGTGGCATGCCAGGAATCGGAGACGGATCTCTCCGCGCTTCAGCGGCTCCGGCTGGTGCACTGCGCCAGCCAGGTGCCTCAGCCTGGATTGCAGCCGCAGCCACTGGTCAGACAGTCGCAGCCGTGGGTCAGGCATGTCCAGCAACTGGTGTACCATCAGCATCGGCGGGCCACACAACGGCAGCAGGCGGGGTTCCTGATGGAGCCGCGAGTTTAGGGGGTGGAGCGGCCAATGTTCCAGCTACTGCCGCGGGACCGCCAGGTGGATCAATGGGTGTTCAGCCTCCTGCAGGCCATGGTGTTCAGTCAGCGGCCGCATCACAGACAGGTGCTGTCAGCGTAGCACCGACGCCTGCTCATGCGCAGAAAGACGCGACCGCGTGGGATCCAGTGTCATACGCGCCCGGACCGACTGTCAGGCCCACCGGCGTAGACGCACGGGCTCAAGCACCAACGGTGCGGCCTTTCGTAGCAGCAGTGGTCCAGCCCAGAAACGATGCATGGGACCTACTGGAACCCCCGACGGAGCTCACAATGTTTCACCGAGGTGTGCAAGTACAGGGTGCTCAATGGTCGGATGCAGCGGCTGATACTGCAAGGGCACCTGTTCCTCATAGGGGATCGTCTGTATTGTCATCGGGGGAACCTTTCTTCGCCCCCTCTGCCTTTCCCCCCCAAGCGCATATTCATGGTGTACGCGCCCCAGCTGCGGTGGGGTTTGCGCAGCAGGCCGGTGCTGTTCCGCCGGCCGCCTCAGCATCCGCCGCACATTCATGGCCGATTGGCCGTGCACAACAACCTCCCAACGCTGTTTACCCCGGATCTGGGCAGCCAAACGACATCGTGCAACTGCCACTGTCGACTCTTCGTCCCCCGCGGCAGGAGCCTGCTACATTCCTCGCCACTGATGAGGTGCTCGACACTACCAGCTGCCACCGTGGTCAAGCATCCGAGTCACGTGGTTTGGGCTACGCAACCATGCACGCCGGTTTCATGCAGGGGTCCCGACAAGTGCTGCCATCGCCGGCCGCCTCATCATCTATGGTTCCCACGGCCCAGGGAGCGGAGAACGGTGAGGTGCCCAGCACCAAGGGGTGGACGGGCGTCACAAAGAAGCTGGACAAGGACGAGTGGATCAGTAGGATAATCCTAGACCGTGCATCAACGTCGCTGATCGTCATCAACAGCCACTTTGAATCAGAGGATGAGGCGGCAAGGTCAATCGCAGCTGCGTCGCACGTGATGTTCGTAGACAAGCCAACGCGTGGGGACCTCATTCCCTTGACCGCCGCCGACAAAGAGAAGCTCAGAGGGTGCACGAGGCACCAGTGTGAGGTGATGGTCCGGATGAAGTTCTGGCACATGTTGGAGGAGTGGAGGAATTATTGGCCTGAGGCGAAGGCTAAGTGGGACGCGAAAATGCGCAAAATCGAGGAAAAGAGAGCTGCAATAACGGCAAGCTTGCGGGAGGATGATGGTCGGGCCAACAAAAGGGCACGAGGTGAAGCTGAAGGAAACGCCGGGGGTGACCGTGCGTCCCGCCAAGTGGGGTCGGGATCACAAGATGCATAGTTCATGTCTGGATGATTGGAAGCGGGTGTTTTTTGGGACACATTTAGGCTTTCCGCATGCATTTGACTTCTCCAATCTTCGGATACACCTCTGGGTGTTTCATTCCTTGTGTTTGTAAATCGTCATCATCTAGCATAGCGTGCCATTGTGAAGTGGTGACTGCTCCTTACATGCAACTGATAACATCAATAATGGCTTTCGGTTCGAATCATCACATAATAGCGAATCGAGACTAGACGCCAGAAGGTGTAGGGCAAGACCCTTATGAAGTAGCGCAAAGCAGCAGTGTGTGTTCCGTCGGCCCCTTGTCAAAGGGGGGTGGGGCAACTGGCATGTCCATGTAAATGCCTGACGCGATGCTCGCCAACAACACTTTAACAGCCCGCAAGAGCGCAGTATGCATTCCGTACACATCCCACGTGGCACCAGCCATACCTTCAACCTACCGAAGTTTGGACTCACGGTACGTTCGCCACGTATAAGTGAAACACTCGTGAATCTCTAGTAAGAGCCGTTGCGGTACGTACAAAGGTCCCGAAGGGTTCCACTACACGCAACTGTGGAGGCCGGTCAATACGAAACCCATACTATCACATTGATTTGAAACATGACATACGGGAAAGCTACACAATTCCCTTTGAAGTGACAATAATAGTGCTCATGGGGCAGCCCCAAAAAAGGAACGCGCCAGGAAGTCACAAGGGTAAATATCCACACGGAACGCACGTGTACGGAGAGCGTTCCGCGATGCCCAACTGCCAAGGGGCTGGTTGACGGTCTCACGACATACTCACAAGGGATCCACCACGCGGGTGTAGAACCCACATTACGAGGGCGTGCGAGAAGTGGGTGCATATTGATTCATTCGCCTCAGTCTCGTCATTCCGACGCGAAACATAATGACCGGGTCAAACCATAGTAATGACCAAGTTCCCAATCCGTGAATGACAAGTTTGGTCCTTACGGGACATTCACAAGACGGAAACTCGGTTACAGTACACTAGGTCGGGCACCACTGAGCTGTCACTGGCATGTCACCATCGCGAAGTAGCCAGCCATGAAGTGTTCGGTTTAGTCATCGCGCGATAGTAGTGGGTGACCCCCCAAACCATATACATGTTTCACAATCCGTCCCAAAATTACTACAATGGAAAATAATCCAAACTGTTTGATTTGGAAAGATTGACCTGGTGAGTGACCAGGTGATCTGTATTTCGATACAGTCCCTATATATGCATGCGAGTAACAAATACCGTCCTTCGCATTTGGTATTACCAGAGTGTATTACTTCCGCCGCGAGCCCTAATGCGATTCACCCTGAACGATCCTTTCCTTGCAATATCACACTTCAAATTTTACCATGGTACGAGAGTGTCTCAGGGAATTTACGCAACGTCACATTCGTTGACAGCGCCAAAACAAGATCTTGCAGGCAGCAGGCAATCTACGACCAGGCTGGCCGTTGGACAAACGAACTCGGCGGCGGCAATTGAGACGACAACCACGATCGGCAAAGGCTGGTTCGAGAAGGTGTTACAATTTTGAAGTGTGACTTAGCGAACATGATCGTTTAGAGTTGATCGCAGTTTGTGTCGCAGCGGAAATTGTGAACTCAGGTCAGAGTGAATGTAAATGACTGAGATTGATAAACGCATGCTCACACGTGGTTTACATAGCAACACCAAGGGATGCGAAACGACCAAGACTAGCCATGTACTCTATGGAGGACATTCCATTATTGCATCGGAATACAAACCCTGTGGCGCGGGAACACATGGGGGATTTACTCTTCTTCTTTGCACAGTGCGTTACCAACCCATCCAATGGAAAACACTACCGATATTTGTAGGCAAGTGTGGGTGTAGCCACTTAGGGTACAGGACTTCGGGTTTCAGCTTTGCACTCTAATCGTTGATAGTTCAATCATGTCTAGCTACTTCGCAATCCAATTAATCCATGTGGGCCGAGACTGCCTAGTGCCAGGTGGCACTCAACCTTTGTTGCCTCTATGATGCCTAGTCCCTCACACCACTTTCTATAAAAAGCTCGTACGTGCGATATGTACATAAATTGTATCCACCCGTAACGACCAATTATATTACAACACTACTTGGACAACCTAGTACTTTATTCGCCTCGGTCGCCAACACCCTCATTCGCCAACATAAACCGCCACGTTTATCCAACACTTACTCGATCCCGCTAATTCCTCAGGGGACTTAGACTGTCGGGCCATACACAAGTCATGTTGCATTCCATTGCACTATCAGAAATAACGTCCTTACCATACATCGTGTCAAAGCTTGTGTAGGATTTAGCCTGTTTCACGAGAGCAAACTACAGTCATATGTCGTGACGGACGCCTGCTTAGAATAGCGACGCGTACAGTGACGGGTACAGATTCACTGTACCCGTGTTTCAGTTTACCCCTATTTCCCGCGTGAAATTCATTGTCAATCCCGCGTGAAAGAGATAACAACTGTGCCTCGGTTCTCATTGGATATCGGCGTGACCCATCGCTCAATAGTGGACGGTGACAGTCTTTACGCATCACAAACAACAGGTGGACGTCCCGTCATTTGTCACATCACTGGCCCACGACGCTTGCACCTATCGCGTCAACACCCCTCCTTGTTAGACTGCAAGGCATAGCGACGAGTACATAACTTCACATTGCCAGGTGACATCGGGTCAAGCTTCCTAGTAGTCCTTAGTATGACGTCGCGGAAAAGCCCGCGGTTGGGTCGGGCGAGAAGTGATGCAGAATCGTCCAAGAAATCGTCATCGCGTGTTATTAAGTTCGAGGTTCCCGTGACGGTTGACGTGGAGGAGAGCCCACCGGAACCCGACGACATAGTGTCCCTTTTCGCGAAATCAGTGCCTGGGCCGTCTGAGGGTGGCGGTCTACTTCCGCCCACATTGACTAGCGAATACTTTCCAACACCGGCGATCACGAATCACCTTGGGCAGAGCGCGAACGTGCAGTTGGTTGATGCTCTTGGGATTCGCGACGGGTGTGAGATTCCGGCAACAACGATCGACTTCCACAACGTATGAGTTATCTACCAGCTTACGAACGTCGTTGTTAACCATAAGCATTCGGTGCTTATGTACATAACATGTTTTGCGCAGCGTTCTGAGTATCTTGCACCCGCAACTACCATCGGGGAGCTCGTGGGTGGCGCTGCCATCCTCTGCGTACCGGGCGGCTGTTAACGAGCAACTTTGCTGCGGCATCAAGAGCGATACCCTGTTCGAGTTCGACTACGTATGCATAGTGGCAGTAACTCAGTAAGTAGGCGTGGTTCAGCGGTGCCGGAACAATACGGTTTAAATGTTGGCTCACAATGTTTCAATGGCTTGACCAGGTGTCTGAGGAACCCTGGGCCCAAACACGCAAGCCTGATTGTTGTGAAGGATCCGGGGTTGCTGCTGAAGACTGATGAGGAGCTTGAAGTGCTGGGCGCTGAGGGGCCACAGGTTGTGCTCTTCGATTCTACTGGGTATCACGTCGCTGGGTCACACACCGTCTTCCGAACCGTAAACTGGTGAGACCAGATGACCCCGCCATAGCGTGTTTTATGCCATTTGCACACTTGCTGGGACTCCAAAGACCATGTGTCATTGTGTGACATAGCACGTGACTGCAGGCTTTTGGGTGCGGCGCTGACGCAGGCGAGGCCGGGGCTCCCTGCGTCGGATGTGACCATTCGTCTCCGTCGCAGCCGCTGCCGGGCACTGCGTGTAAGTGAACGGCATATTGCAGCCAAGTACCGCAACAGGACTACAACGTTGACTCTGGCGTACTCGTGTGCGTGTGCGTGTCCGAGCTTGCGGCCCGGTCATTCAGGAACCTTGTGCAGGGCATCCCATCACCATCGTACCGCATTGTTACCTACCGGTGCGCCATCAGAGCCTTGATGTGTGATACTGGGGAGCAAACGCTAGCCGCGAAGCTGCACAACAAAACGGTGACACTACCGCCATTTGACCGACCGGCGCCGGGAAATGAGTCGCTCCACACGGTGCAGCCCATCGTGGACAGCATTTCGGCGATGAAGAACCTGGCCTCTGAATTACGGACCCAGGCGAGTCGTCTCGCCGACGTAGAAGGCGGCATGGAAACCATGAAGCAGTGGATCGTGAAGACGCATGACATATGCGACACCATGGCCACGGCCGTCTCAGCGCTTCAGCCGACGAGCAGTACTGAACGCGCGCCTGATACGCCCATGGTCATGGAAGACCGGCCCGAGGTCATCGAAGGCGGCTCTCCGTCACAGCAGGAGCAGGCGAGGCAGTCTTCGCGAAAGAAGGCCAAGGAAATCAAGGGGAGATTCGTGGGTATTACCCTACGGCCCTGGAATGGGCGTTGGGTTGCTAGACTGGTCTGCGAGCGGAAGAAAGACGGGCACACCGTTATTGGCAGCCAGTTCGGAGATGAGGAGGAAGCCGCGAGATCACTGGCCGCTAGATCACATGTGCTGTTTGGGCCGCACAGGGGACCTCGTGGGAGAGTGATAGGTCTGTCTGTTGAAGATAAGGACAGGTTGAAGGACTGTCCTAAGGACGTATGCCTTGCCATGATCCGGAACAAGTTCTGGCACCGGTGGGAGAACTGGAGGGAGGCCTGGGCGGAATGCCGGACTTTGATGGAGAAAGGGAGGGCGGTTGATACGGTGTCGGTAGATCCGCAATCCTCGGCTCAGCCGCCGTGTCGTCGCAGCTCCAAACGAAGGAGACAGACAAAGGTGTAGCCGACGGCCTTTAGACGGGAGGTGCTTTGTCTGGTTTTTGGGCTGTGCTGACTTTCCTAGACCGCCGGCCGAACTGCCTTTGCCTTGTGGTGTGTTAGAGCGTGGCATGCCGAGGGATTGCTTGGATTTCCACATCACACTCGTATGTAGGCCCGTTGATTTTTGCTGGTGATAGGTTAAAATGATGTGTCATAGCCTGTGTTGGTTATAGGCAGCACGGAACGTAGCACTGTTGTTGTTGGT